GATTTTTACTGGGTCAGGTTAATTACGCAATTAACCCTTCACACTGCCACCACCTCCTTTTTGTACAGAGAAAGAGGAAACTCAGCAATATCAGCTATAACACTATAATGGTTGAGATAATCATCTGTATAACACTGTCACCGCAGGCCGATTATACAGAGGGTTAAACAAACACAGTAGCGCTCTTTTTAGAGGCAGGAATTCGTAAATTGCAATTAAGAGCTATAGAAACAGTTCAACACTTTCAGAAGGAAAGATTTATTACTAGAAGGTAAAAAAGGGTGCAATAAAAAATATTTACAGAAAAAAGATGTAACCAATATATATATAAATATACAGAGAACAACAGCACAGCAAAGAGGTAACAGAAGGAGGTTAAAGGGTTAAAGTACTTTCCAATTAGCCTTGGGTTTGCAGATCAAGTTTCAGAGCAAAAGGGTATGGGTCTCCCCAGGTGGTTCTGATGTTAAAATGGGAGACTTCTTCAACTTAACTCTTCTTAGGCCTGACAACCCAATTTGTAGTTCCCCAGCAGGGGTGTCTCTGAAGTCAAGGACCAATACCTCGTTTAGGGAGGGAAGGTCTGGGCGTAGACCTAAACTAGAGCCAAAATCTCTTTTAGTTCATATTTTGGCTCAGAACGTTTCATATGCGCAAGTGACACTCCACCCGCGGGTAAATTATTATGCAGACACATCTGAGGATTGATTAGATATTAAATATGAAATTCTACACTGAATGGTTCAGGAGATCCACTTTTCTGCTTTCGTATGTATTCCAGCCAAGGAGAGTGACCTACCAAACTTGTTGTCTTCTCTTGGCAAATCTGAAGATATGCCTGGTTTTTATGTAAGTCTCTCATATTCAAAGATATGAGACATAGGGGAAAAATGGATTTTTTAAAAAGGTTGTCTGGTCGTGCTTCCTTGGAATGTCTTTTTGAACTCTTGGGAAGGCTTGCATTATCTCTTACGAGGTGCTATATGGCACAGCTCCCTCAGACAACCAGGCACCTCGCTCAGAGAGGTGTTTTATAGCTCTGGGCTCCCTGCTGTACCCTGTCCTGCCTGTGACACTGCCAACACACACAACCAGATGTCACTGTGGCTGAACAGAGGGAAGGGGGAGAATGAGGGGAAATATGTTTGTCAGGATGGTTAACCCCTTTGCCAAGATGGAGGTTGAAGCCAAAATGGTTGAACCGCATCCATCTCTGGGTGTACGCCTGCCACATATATATAATGTTTGGTAGTTCAAAGTAAATTTTTAGAAAAAAATACAGATTTTATTTCATGTGAAGAAAAAGTATCAGAGGTCTTCAGGTGGCTAGAAGAGTGAGTGATGTGTGGCAAAACTTCTAAAAACAACCCCTTTTTGGAAAGTAGACACCCCAAACTATTTGCTAAGAGGCATGTTGAGTCAGTAGAAAATTAATTTTTTTACCACAAGTTTTTGGAAAATGACCAAAAAAATTATTATTTTTTTACACAAAGTTGTCACTTAAATGATTTATTGCTTACACATGCCATGGGTATATGTGGAATTACTCCCCAAAATACATTCTGCTACTTCTCTCAAGTATGGGGATACCACGTGAGAGACTTTTTGGCAGTCTAGCCAAGTACAGCACCCCAAAATCCATTAAGCACCTTCAGGCTGTTAAAGGGCTTTATTTCCTCATTACACTTCCTGACTACCTATCACAGTCTCGGAGATCCTGAAATGCTGGAATAATACTAACCCCCCCCCCTCTCTCCAAATGACCCCTTTTTGGAAAGTAGACACCCAAGGAATTTGATAAGAAGCATAGTGAGTATTTTGCAGATCTCATTTGTTGCCACAGGTTTTTGGAAAATGAAGAAAGAAAACAAAAACATATTTTTTCTTTTTTTTTTTTTTGTTTTCAAAACCTTATGAGAAAAAATTAGATTTGCAAAATATTCTCCATGCCTCTTTTTAAATTCCTTGGGGTGTCTATTTTCCAAAGAGGGGTCACTTGGGGGGGGTTTCAGGCATTTCAGAGCCTCCGAAACTGTGATAGGTAGTGAGGAAGTAAAATGAGGAAGTTACGCACCTTCAGGCTTTCAAACTGGTCACTGGATTTTGGGCTTCTGTATGCGGCTAGGCTCCCAAAAAGTCTCTCACATGTGGTATCCCCATATTTGATAGAAGTAGCAGAATATATTTTGGGGTGTAATTCCACATATGCCCATGGCATGTGTGAGAAATATATAATTTAAGTGACAACTTCATGTAAAAAAAAAAGTGTAATTTTCCAAAAACTTGTGGAAAAAAAAAAAACTTCCATGGACTCAACATGCCTCTCAGCAGATAGCTTAGGGTGTCTACTTTCCGAGAAGGGGTAATTTGGGAATATTTGTACTGCCCTGGTATTTTAGCACCTCAAGAAATGTGATAGGCAGTCAGAAAGTAAAAGCTGTGTAAATTCCAATATCTATACCATAGTTTGTAGATGTTATAACTTGCACACAAGCCAATTAATATACAGTTATTGGGATGTTTTTTTTTTTACCAAATACACGTAGCAATATACATTTTGGCCTAAATTTATGATGAAATTTGAGTTTTTTTTTTTGGATTTTTTTTATTTTGTAAGTGTCCAATCTTTTAATTTTATAAATGTCTTGCAATGCTTGATGATTTGTTGGTTTGTTGTCTAAGCATATGTATCTGTTTTAGATATACAATTATCCCCTGAGGAAGTCACCACGAAACATATCGGGCACATTTTCCAGTTTTTGAATGTCCCCCACCCCTTCATAGGATCATCTTGGTGGTTTATGTCTACACTACTTCACTGGCTGTCATCCTTCAATATATGGTGGGCTCTGGGACATTCATTGCTGGTATACTCTACAACTAACTTATATCTTAAATGGTCTATATGTGATGAAATGTCAAATATAGAAATACTGATTTTACTATTTTGTGTATGTAGTTTCTGTGCCCAAAAAGTCCCTTCAACATAGGAAGGCAAATCAACCAAATGGGACATAGGCCAGAAAAATTAACTGGAAGGGGTTTTAATCCTTCCCTAGTTTTTTTCAGAACTAAAAGAAACGTTTTGGCTATAGGCAGGACTGTATTTACCACAAGGCAAACAAGGAATTTGCCTAAGGAGGCATTTTTTCAGGGGGGCAGCACTGCCCCCCTGAAAGAAGGGAAAGAAGAAGGGACACACACGGCATGGGGACCAGGTGGGAGCTGAGAGAGGCTGTGGGCTGCTTGATGGTGTATGCAGAGCCTGACTCTAAGTCCCGGGGACACCTGGAGCTGTGAAGGTGAGTGTTTTCCCTCTCTCTCGCCGGGGGAAAGGTGTGTGTGTGGTGGCCAGTGTATGGGGGCGGTGGTAGTGGAAAACTCTCTTGGGTGGGGGGGGGGCAATTTGGTCAATGACAGGCTCTCTCTCTGCTGCGGGGGGGGGGGGTTGATAGGTGTCAGGCTCTTTTTGCAGAAGGGGGGTATTGGGGGGCCAAATCTGGTGTTGCTTAGGGCAGCACAAAACTTAGATCAACACTGGCTATAAGTACAATTTATGTAGTATGGAAGGTTGTTCTTGATGTAGAATAAAGAAAGCAAAGGTATCCCAGTATTGTGGAATTCTTGTTTGCAACAAACTGGATCCTAACTGATCCCCAAAAGGGTGAGGTACATAGCACTAGAATGCATACTAATAATAAAGTGTTGCTCAAACACTAATATACACAGTCACTTTTACAGGGTCTGCAGACTTGCGTCTTCACCACTAATTTGAATGCTGTATTATACACCAGAGAATAAGAACCTTGGCCATACAGAGGAAAATAAAAAAAACACATCCTGGTTCACGGCCCGCAAGTTGCTTTTTCAGATTTTAGAACTCCACTGTAACACAACATTGTTGTTTTGAGGAGGATTACTCATTCCCCTAGTCACATCAGAGTACCACTGGTCATTAAGTTTGAGTTATAGTTCATGCAGTTAATTGGTGACAACAAAGTACAGAATCTCCATACAAAATGAGCTTGATGAAGATTAGTTCAATTCAAAATGGCAACACATGCTGCTATTGTTCTGCTTTTCCAGCTGTATTTGTTACTAGAAACAGATCATTGTTTTTTCTTTAAAGCAAAATGTTGGATCTAGAGTTACTGTATATCTAAACTGTAAACCAGAAAACATGTAGCCTTAAAATAAATGATTATAACACTTGTTAATTTTATTAACGTTTACCTAAAGCCATTTTGAATACATTAGGGAAGGTTTAGAACAACTATTAGAGGTTTATTGCTGTCTGTGTCTTCGTTGGGGAGCTTCATCTTCTCTGTGTGTCCTGATGAATACTGTCTCTGAGACTGAAAGTGAGAGAAATTCTAAACCTTTGAGTTGTCACTGGAACAAGAATAGCAAATGGCAACTATTCCCTACTGAAAAGAATACGCTTTACGTTCTGCTGTAAAAAATGTTAGTAGTGTAAAAAGGCTACAACAAACCACAAAAGTCTAAATGTATTATATATTTAACCTCCCTAGCGGTATGATTATTTCAGATTTTTGGTGCTGAAAGCGGTACCATTATTTTGCATGGAAATATGTAGTTTTTTTATTGTAGGCCTGTAATTTTTAGGAATATCTCACTGAAATCTGTCCGAACAAGAGTCTATTAAACATCCCGGGTAGGATAAAATTTGAAACACGAAATCATAAATTATAATTTAATAAATAATCATAAAAAAAATTAATATATTAATAATACATTTAATTCAATAATATAATCAAACCAAAAACACTGAAATTTGAAATAGAGCGCCAAGTTCGCACATCGCTGAGCAAAGTCGCAAATCGTTTTCAGTGTCTGATGACGAATTTCCCCACAAAATTATTATCACTCAATTCTGCATGTGGTTCTGATTTACTATCGCTGTTCTCTAGCTGGTCTAAAACCACTTTTGACCTAAAGGGATGCTTTTTGGACGCCATGGACTTTTCTCAGTTTCCAGGCAGAAAGAACAGACAAAATGCAGGCAGGGCACAGGACAAAGCATTAGGGACAAAATGTATGTGAAATGGGTTGAAACAGCAATGTTTTACTATGTAAAATTTGTTTAGAAAAAAATGAAATTTTTTTTAAATTTTCAAATTTCCCGCCGCCGCCGGCGGCGCCCGTACGTCCCGATGTCACAGGGACCGGAACACAGAAGCCGGATGCCGGCATCGGCTGGAGGAGATGGCCGGGGATGCTGCAGGGGACACATCGCGGGAGCGAAGGACAAGGTAAGCTCTGCAGGGACTCCCTATGCAGCGCCGCATGGTAAGCCCGAGTGTAGCTCGGGGTTACCGCTTTTGGTATAGACATTTTACCCCAAGCTACACTCGGGAATACCGCTAGGGAGGTTAAAGTGGAACTTCACTCTCTCAGTCAACATTGACTATTTTTAATCCTTATGCTGCTAGCACTAGTAATAGATACGAACATATATTTACTTGTTTTGACCTTTTTATATTTCTTCAGTTACATCCTGGCTTTTTTATCTTTATATTTTTTATTTTATATATTTTCTAAATTGGTTCCAGCCACATACTCTGCCCAATTAATTGGTTCATGATCTTGGCATTTCACTGTCTTTCCCTTCCCGTTCACTTTTCAGCGGCTTTCTCCGTGGCACGGCTGGCTCCACCCATGCCCTTCCTGATTTGTTCCCATTGGCCGCTTGACAGCTCTTAAATACTTAACCTTCCCCAGGGCGGGCCAGTTTGATAAAGGAAGCGGGGCCTTAGAAATGCGTTGCAGCCTGCCCATCTTCTTGTCCATGATACCTGTCAAATCTCCTGTCAGTTAGCAGCCACCGAGCTCCATCCACGAGGGGTCCCCAATCTAGCTCTGCAGCTGCTGTCAGACTCATTATATGGGAGTGAGTTGTCACTGCACACCATCCTGGCTACTGGAGCAGTATACAGGTTTCTTCACAGGTGAGTGAGTTTAATAAAGTGTTGTTGTTTTTATCTACACTGACCTGGCGACCAGCTTTTCTTCCTTTTCTGCCTGGTTTCTTGCCTAGGAAAATTATGACATACAGTCATGGCCAAAAATGTTGGCACCCCTGCATTTCTGTCAGATAATTCATCGCTTCACCCAGACAATTGTTGGAATTACAAATGTTTAGGCATTCTCATGTTTATTTCTTTTGTTTGTGTTAGTATGGCACAAAAAACTGGAGAAACAAAAAGCCAAATCTGACACATTTCACACAAAACCCCCAAAATGGACTGGACAAAATTATTGGCACTCTCAATTTAATATTTGGTAGCACACCCCTTGGACAAAAGAACTGAAATCAATCACTTCCTGTAACCATCCCAGGAGTCTTCAGGAGGGGCTCTCTATTCTAAGCACCCACCTGCATGTATGAATGTGCTAAGGGAACATGGATTCCAGGAAGTAAATGCTAAATGAATCATTGCCTTACTCAAGATGACCACGGCTAGAAATGCTAGTGGTTGTTTTTTTCAAAGTGATTTTTCAGCAAAATAAAGCATGGAGACATGGATGGATAGGTGACTTTGCTCTGAATATAAATATTAATTAAATAACATTTTTGGTTTGTGGTGCTCAGATGCAGTGTACTTCCGCTTTAAAGATTATAATTTATTACAAGAACTGCATCCAGTTATAATTATTAGAGTGATTCCCTAGGTTGGTTGATAAAGCAAAACAATCTGGTTGACTTAAATGATGTCACGATGCAAGCTATTTACCCATGGGGAGGATAACTTGGCAGGTGCATCACTTATTGGTTTTGTTTATGCTTTAAAGACTGGCATTTCCAAAAATGAATACATGATGTGACAACACTATCTACTCTTTATTTTGCATTAAAACATATATTTGCATCCCTTGCAGGAAAAACACAACCCTCACATGGGTATACGTTTAAGCACGCCCATGTGAATGAGGCCTAAAAGTAAAAAAAATGGCTATACATACTCTTTATCATGTTTAGAACTTTTTGACTTCAGTTTTGTTCATGCAGCAATAGCTTTAGTGATAGCTATAAGGGGACACATGTACATACCTGTGACTGCATTTTAGCTATTGGACTATAATTCAATCTGCAATATGCCCCATCATCATAAAGTATCTGCTATAGCTTAACATTTAAATCATTGCCTTTGTCCAAATTTTGGATCACAATAAAAGACTCTGTGCATGATTTGAGAAGGATTCTTTTCTTGCACTCGTTGCCTTCTTTCAGGCTTTGAAATTTATTGCAAATCCACGTAAATCACTCAGTAAAAAAAAACTTAAAAAAAGAATTTTAAAACACCTCTTACAATGCCATGGACCAAAGGTTCACTGTGCTAAAGAGTCTTGCAGTTGTATGAAACTTTTACATTTTATTAAATCATTTGAATTCAAGTGTGCATAAATGAGGAGAAATCCTTTAGACTACTATAATCTCTGAAATTATACATCATATACAATATACAGCACTATATGAGTATATATAAATATATATACACATATAGTACATATATACACAAACACACACATATACACATATACACATAAACCACTTCAAGCCTGCAAAAAATGTTACTTACATATCACAAAATAAACACTGCTTTGTCAGGCTTGGATACTACTTAATGCATGCTGAAAGTGGCATATCAAATAACAATATTGATTGACTCACTAAAGAGGGAGTGTTTTACACATAATAAATGCACCTTTCAATTTAACCAACTAGAAACTCTAAAACTGAAGTTGGGCACTAAAACAACCCTGTCATTTGTAGAAGTACTGTGTAAAAGAAGGTCTATACCTCCATCAGACAGTAAGTAAAATCTTTGCTGTCCTGCAAAGATACAAGCACCACTGCGATCTAACACTTTTAGCTGTGTCAGATAGCATATCCCATCCTGCCAGCTGCAACATTATACATTAATGATGTGTTGGCCAGTGGCCAGTGGGACGGACCACAGTGTCCGGAGGGGCATGATATCTGCAACACCTGGAAGAGGATAGTAGCGCTGCTCCTAGCTCTGCAAGAGTGTGGGGATTTTCAGCCACCAGAGAGGAAATTATAAACCTGCTAATTTTGCAGAGTTCTTCTGCCTGCTTTTTGTTTTTATATAAGCAACAGGATCAGTTTAAATTTGTTTTAGCTAGATAAGCTACCTATTGCATGGCCTGGCAAGGTTCCTTTAAATATAAACAAAATAAATAAATGTCCAAAATTATTCATATGAAATACAATAATAATTAGAAAATATTAACAAAGAAATCCATTTTTCTGTCTAAAACCTGCTTTTCAATTGAGTTTACATTGGAAGTGTAGTGACATCATGAGTGATATCACGACATTTCCTCTGAATACAGAATCTTGGGCTGAGTTGTTGATACTCTGTCCAGCATCTCCCTCCTTAATAAGATCACTGGTATAGCAATCTTTCACTTGCTAATTGTTGAACACCATTTGAAATGATCTTTTGCTGCACAGCTGCATGTGGGGTCTGCACAGACAAGATCCAGATCCTCCCCAAAGTTAAAAAAAAAATACTTTGCCAAACTATAATAAAATGTTTCTGTTTTACTTTTCTGAAGTCCCAAAAATCAATTTAAAAAACAACATTGTAGACTACAAACACTAAAATGTATAATGTCTAGAACCGTGATATCACCAAAACAAAAAGAATGCTCTGGAAATCTAGGGAGAATAAAGCCAGGAGACTAAAATGGTTAACTGTTCTACTGAGTTTAGCTGAACCCTAGCTCCAATTAAACAGGAATTACTTACATCACATAGTACCATATTAGGTATTATATTAATTAAGAAAGGATTCACCCCATGACAGTGGATTCAATTTAGGATTTTTTTCTGATCAACAGAAATATTCAGATTTTATGACAGTAAAAACAGATATCTCCAAAGTAATTTAAATAATTGTCCCTGTAGACAACATGTGTTGGGGCGGTGCTTTTGGCAGTGAGTCATCACACATGACCGTAGGTTGGAGTAGCATGTTGTCTTACACTTATATACTGTGTTTGTATTTTACTTTGTAAGTACCCATCCTCTTAAAGCGGAGTTCCACCCAAAAGGGGAAGTTCCGCTTTAAAGACTTGTCCCCTGCTCCACATTACAGAATGACACCTTTGGGAAGCGGGTATCCAAAATTGACAGGTACTTCTGCTGTGATTGCCTAGGTGATCGGAAGCTGAAGTTGTCCTCCCTCCCTGTAGTCTTCTGGGACACATGACAGGTCCAAGAAGACAACGGGGCCATTCAGGAAGCTCAGCGCTTCTTGCGCATGTGCAGAGGGCACCCGGCTGTGAAGCCACAAGCTGTCACAGCCGGGTGTCCTCACTGAAGATGCCGGTGCCTGGAATACAGGACGGCCGGTGAAACGGGCTGCGAGGAGGACACCATGGGTTCGTGGGACAGGTGAGTGGCTGTTTTTTAAAAGTCAGCAGCTATAGCTTTTGTAGCTGCTGACTTTATTTTTTTACAGTGTGACTGGAACTCCACTTTAATAAATGATGTAGCCTAAAAGTAATACACCATAGTTTGCTTTATTTTCCTCTATGCTGAGATATGTTGTACTGCCATTGCATTTGTGGGTTAATTAGAGAACTGCCATTTTGAGGAACCTACAGTGTAAGGTGGATGAAACAGATTGCCATCTCTGATGCTGGGAGAAATTATTATCTTTGCCTCTACTGATTGCAAGAGTTTTTGACCTCATATCAAGCAGGTGGTGTGCAATCATCTAATGTTTCGATGCACTGAAGCCAGGTTTACTTTTGAACTGTGAATTCGCACACCTGGTCATTTCACGAATCATGGAATGCTTTTTATGGACTTTATGCAGATGCACATGTGTGTTTGCTGCACTATAATTGAATGAGTTATTGTTAATATTTGAAGGGATAGCTCACCTTAGAAAATTTCATGTAATTTAAATAGTTATAATGAGAACACAAAAAATAACTAATTTGCAGTTAGCAAATTTACTGTGTCTAAATTTGCTAACTGCATCTTCCAGTACCTTCTCCACAGGTTGACAATTCTGCTGCCCAAGACTGGCTCCATTGCTCGATCCATAGACTGGAGGCACCCTAAGTCAGGACGTGTGTTACTTACTGGATCACCAGGTGAAAATAAAGAAAAGGAATCCTAAAAAATAAAACTAATGCATCTACCACATTTAAGGGTTGGTAAGCTGCAGTATATATAACCTTTTTGTTTTTTATTTTAGATACGCTATCGTAAGGTGTGATGACAGCACGTCACCCACTGCATCCTGAAGCCACCCACTGCATCATCACAGAACACACTAGTGACATAGCAGCTG